GGGAAGTCTCAAATCTGAGACAGTAAAATATGGTCGCGAGTTCCAAGGGAATCGGACCCAAGAAGACTGCGCTGGCAAGGGCCAGCAGCATATACAAAATACAGACCCGTTTTCTCGTCAAAGAGGGCTTAACTGTCAAACAGTAATAAATATCTGGTCATGAGCCCCAGATGGGGCTCGAAACTAAGACCTACTGACTGCTTGACCGTCAGTCACAATGTGACTTTGACTTGACGAGGGGCCAAGCATATTCATAAAAGACAAACCCATCTTCTTGCCAGAAGACTATGATCCCAAGAATTCAGTCGAAAATATCTCTGGTCGTGTGGCTCAAGGTTCTGTTTGGCGGTAAGCCGTCAGTCGTAAAGTGGCTCTGACTTTGACTTTGACTTTGACTTTGACCCAGTGAGTTAGGAGTCGAATTCTGCAAGGGAGGCTGGGAAGAAATAGCGCTATATTTCAGTTGTGGGATATACGCCGGACAGTATCGGCGTGAACACAGAAGCTGAAGTATCTCCATTGTTGAGAGCTGCTACCAAGCAACGACTAGTGAAGACACTGCAGGCTGGAGAAGACTTAGCGTATAGTGATTTGTAAAGTGTGCAAATCAGCTATGGTTAGATAAGTATAATTACGAGTTTTATGTTAAAGTGGTCAATAAATCCAAAATCCTACCAGTCACTCTAACGCGTGACAGCACTTATATAAAAAGAGACATACTCAGTTCGCAACTTCAGTCAAGCGCGTCCTTTGACAGAATTCAGTTACAGAACAAATCAAAGTATTTCCTCCTCTATAGGATGTTTCTGTCATTTACTTTCATCAAGGTTTCCTTAAATTACTTAAGCTTACATTTTAAATAACTATGCGGCATAGCGACGGGCTATCGGATGGACTGGGTTCAGTTCCCGGCAGTTCTAGATTTTTTCTTCCTCACAGCGCCCAGACCGGCTCTGGGGCCCATCCCGCTCTTTATTCCATGGGTACAGGGGGTTCCTCCTCCCCGAAAAGAGAGGCAGGGTCGTGAAACTAACCAATCACCTGTAGCCGTCCGCCGACGTACAGCTGCCACGACTTTCGCTCGAGCTTGAGTTCTTAATCACAGGATACGGGTGCTTTGGAGATGGGAGTGGAACACACTTCGGGGTAAATAAATCCGGGATCTCCAGAACATTGTGGATTGCAGTTTTAATTTAAAATTTCATTAATGATGAATATTGACATTATTCTCCAAGCTAGCCGCTCCGTCCGCCGACTAGCTACCACTACTCTTAAACACTTCTCTCTTCTCTATCTACCTTCCCACTACTGTCCTCCTCCGCTCCCTATAGCCGACCACCCATCTTTACAAGTCCCCCAGTGGGCATAAAACGAAACAAGAAAATAACAAGGGAAATCCAAGGGTCGAGCCCGACATCTGCCCTACATTCGTATTTTTCGAGATGCCCATAAACCTCTGTAGGTCTTCAAGGCAAGCAAGACCCCTCCTGGCCGGTCTCGTACAAGGTCAGTTCATGGGTTCATGGGAGAAAGCAGGCGGCGTTAGGGACAATAGCGGCACCCTTAGCCTAAGGAGGACAATAGCGGAATTACAACTAGAAGGTCCCGGGATGGTATCTCGCAGATGGAGCGTCTCTCACGGTATTAAACAATGCATAAGTAGTTCATACCCTAAATTATATAATTTTGACGAGGGACGTACGGTTACACACCTCCATCTAGTGCCACGTCTCTATGGTGTAGTGCTTAACTCATTAAGCAAACGGACAATTTTTCATTTACTTCTACATTAATTAAGCGTGTAACTGTGTATGCAATTTTTCGAAACATCTAAACGTTTCTTTATGTATTAAAGATACTGTTTAATAGACCGAATTTGCGGTTAAGCATACAACCAGTCACCTGCCACTTTAATTTAGACTAAAACTAGATCTATACAATTATAATTGTATGCCAATATATCTACGTCAAGGTGACTTTGAAAATCAATGGCTTTGTTACGAATGAAAGAGGTGCCGAGACAAAGAAAAGGCGATAAAGTCGCTTTTCTGCTTGATAGAGACTTCTTTACCTCGATCCTTTCATGGGTTTTATTCCTTTGCTAGCTCAAATCCGTTTTATATTGACGGCTCCGAAAATTTTCAAGCATTTTCATAAATGTTATGTATTTAGGGAAGATAATGCGTTTCATTCAATTCCATATGGGCTGGAAATATTCCCAGTGTCGGTTTAAGGTTGCTGTTTGCTGTGCTAATAATAGTCTACTCTTTCCGAGCCACAGTCTAAACGTCCAGAGACTCATACTCACGCCTGGATGCAAAGGTACGTCCGAAACTACGTATAAACGTATTTCTTGACATAAAAAGAAAAGTATTCCCATTTCAAATATTCTTGCCAGGAACAATGAATTTAAACTTGGATTCCTGTTGTATTATACAAATAATTTTGGAAATTTTTAATTCTGAATGTAAAATTTGGTACTTAACCTATATATAGGGCGATTCAGTACGCGGTTGTGATGATAATGCTTCGACCTGAAAGAGAGAAATCAGAAGAGGGCTGGAGAGAACCACATGACGAACTTCTTATTTTGTAGTTCCTACTACTCGCTACGTACGTATTATTAGGGCCATAAAACCACTCAGGCTAACGAGAAATTGATACAGGGCACGTACTAGAGAAACAAGAAATCTATACAAAAATTTGGTCATGAAACTTTAAGGGAGAAGATAAATTGCGAGGCATCGGTGTTAAAGGTAAATGTAAAGCTGTCCTTGTAACAGGTCGTGGAGGCCTACAGGGTTGTAAGACGTCGGGGCTCACACATTTTCTAGATAATCGGCTCACAGATAGTGGTAAGGTTGTCAGCCTCAAACGTCGGCCGCCTTTATCACAAGGAAGATTCCTGGTACTCATTTCTGTTAGAGTCTAAGTCGATCTCAGGGCCATAGTGCGGCTGGAAAGATTAGGTCAATTAAAAATATCCGCCAAATCGGGACTAGAACCCGCGAGCTTCTGACTTGTAACACTTTTTAATTTTTCTAAATTCGCTTAGTGGGGGGTGAAGTCCAATTGGCTCTATTGTAGCCTGCACCTGGTGATTATGATAATGGAGAATTTGGCGGAATGGAGATTGGCAGGAGAAACCGCCCCAGCGCCACTTTTTTCGACCGCAAATCCCACTTGACCAGACCCGGAACCGAACCCGGGCCGCCGCAGTGGGGAGTCAGCGACTAACCGCTTGAGCTATGACGCGGCCCTGACTTGTAGCATAGTGCCTCAACCAACTACGCTACCGCATGCCCCTGATATTGGTGTTGGTGGGTTCACAACATTGACATTGACCTTAAGGAAGCGGTGTGTGAGGATGTGGTCTCAGGACAGACCGTTAGGGCGCGTTTCCACGGGGCGTGACACGCTAGCGTGAGGCAGGTATTCGTGAGTACGACCCATGTGAACGAAGCGTCGTGGAAAATCTTATGACGTCACAGGCAAGAGTGAGGGCTCACGCTTCATATCAAACATGTTTGATTTTCAGTCGTGAGTTTGCCTCTACCATGTCTACACCGGATCGGGTGATAAAATTACGAGAAAGGGAAACTGTGCGGTTTTTGGAATTATATGCAGATGAACCAGATGAATTTACTAATTGTACTTTTTGGAACACGAAATAAAAATTCCAGACTCTTGAAAGAGTCTCCTGTGGCTAAATATCGTAAAGTCACTTGAAGTTTTGTTTTTGCACTTACTGCCTGTCTCATATTAGTATCTGATTTTGCGACCAGTGGTGAAACGCGTTCCAGAAGGAAATCAAATTGGTCTTCAGACACTCGTAGTAAGTTCTTGAAATCATCTGGGTAACTATTTCTGAGTTCCATGTCAACCAAATTATGTGGCCCTAATTTCCTCTTTAGAATCCACTTCCGAACCCACCATCGCCTTTTCTTCCGTTTTCCTTTCATTTCCACCATCTGCTTCATTCTCTGCGCTAAAATAGCAGCAAAAACTGAACTCACAACAGCACAACTTTCTATGAGGAGCTCGTTCATGGTCGGCTTTCCGCGATCAACTGAATCACGTCTTCGTGGACACTTCAGCCAGTGTGAACTACTCACGACCCACGACTGGTGGGTTCATGCCTGCAAATTCACGAAAGCGTTGCACGCTTTCGTATCCACACCCCGTGGAAACGTAGCATAACGGTAGGAATGCGGCTAAGAGGGTTCGGTTTCCATAGAAGGCAAGAATTATCTACGTTACGCAACCTGACATGATTATCAGCTTTCGAGGAGTTAAGAAATTCTCATCTTATCATTCTCTACATTCAAAATTAATTTAAAAAGAAATGCATTTCTGATACCTTCCGGACCATTATCGTCGTT